CTTAGCGACGCTTCGAGACCATGCAGCCCCGTCCTCTGTTTGCCTGTATGAAGTGAACTCAGAACAGTTAGTATGGGAATTGTTAAAGGAGAACTATGGGGTTAAGGCTTTTCCCCATAGTTCTCCTTAGGGTAACGGGAGGACACAAACTAGCGTCCTCCCGTCACCCTAAGCTCAGTATACCGCAAGCAGTATACTACTGCTCGCGGTATACCGAGACGCGCGGGTTAAGCGGATCCCGACAATAATGTCTGGATCCGCCCAGCTGCGTGAGTGACAGCTGGCTCTGCCTATCTAGAGGCAGAGCCAGCTGTACCCACCCCTCCTCTGTCTGTTCCGCCAGTCAGCGCTGGAGGATCGGAGCGCGGAGGGGGGAATCCAGCCCCTCCTCTGTCACGGCAGAGAGCTGTGACAGGATCGAGAGGTGAGCGAACGCCGGTATGTGTTCGCACTCACCTCATAGTTCTCCTTTAAGCATAATCTACATTTCAAAGCTGTTCAGAACACCAAGGTGCTGATGCCACCTAATGGCAAACACTGGAAGTGCATTCACATTTGGAAAGCATAAAGTAGTCTGTTACACACATTAGCACTAGGTCTAGTATATCAAAGTGTTAATTAAAAATTATTTCTGACTGCATTATTTTGTGTGTGTGTGTAATGAAGCAGCATTGTGGATGGTGTGTGTCACCTAGGTTTCTCACATACACACAGTAAGGAGCTCCATTGTTTATGGAGGCTTTGGGTGGGCCTCCATTCCTAGGTCCAAATCTTAGCAGGTAACCAAGCCTTGTTATTAGTCCAAGATGTGCGTAGGCCCTCCTACATTGAAAACTTTGTTTGCCACCTTGCTGAATACAACTTCCAAAAAAGTTGGGAACGTTGTGTAAAACCTACCTAAAAACAGAGTGCAATGATTTGCAAATCTCATAAACCTATATTTTATTCACAATAGAAAATATATCAAATGTTTAAACTGAGAAAAAGTACCATTTTAAGAATTAAAGACCAGCAATGTGAAAGGGAAATGCTAGATGACCACCTCCGATCAGCTTGATATTTCTGCAAGTACAGTTGCAAATATTATGAAGGTCCATGGGAGTGTAGCTAATCTCCCTGAATGTGGCTGCAAGAAGAAAATCCACCATAGATTGAACAGAAAGATAGTACGAATGGTAGACAAAGATCCAAGGAAAACTTTGAGAACTTCCAAACTTCCCTTTTAAAATAGAAAAAAAGATTGAGGACACAAAGTCTTCAATCTCTTTTTCTGCAGCCTCAGTTATAATATATAGCCTCTATACTGAGTGCTCCTGTCCATTCATAACTTGTGGAGGTAGTATGTTTACCATGTCCACAATCATAAATGAACAGGAAGTGATGTAGATCACTTCCCATTCATAATTGGGAAGTGATCTACAATTATTACATAACCATACTATGTCCTCAATGCTTTATAAACACTCAGCGATCACTGAGTGTTTGTACCCGCTCTCCATCCTGACTCGCTGTCACAGGAGGCTGAGCGAGCGGTGTGGGGAGGAGAGCTCGGTCTCCTCTGACAGTTAACTCCTCCTCTGCACTGCTGGCCCGGCCTCCTATGACAGCTGTCTCTGCCCCCACACCGCCTCTCCCCTGATCTGTCACAGGAGGCTGAGCGTGGTAGTGCAGAGGTAGAGCTGTGACAGCACTGACAGCTGTCTGCGCCCCCACACCGTTCTCCTAATCTGTCACAGGAGGCTGAGAAGTGCGCTAGGAGAGACGCTGGCTGCTCACATTGCTTTCCTCCCGCACACCGCTCGGCCTCCTGTGACAGTTTCTCTCCTCCCCGCTGGACGCTACGCTGTCAGAGGGGCACAGAGCAGCACCCAGCGGGGAGGAGAGAGACCAGGGATGCACCTCCTGCCTGTTTCCTCCACTGTAGCAATGGTATGTCCCTCAATGTCCTCATGTCCTATACACAGTGTATAGAATGTGATGACTCAAGGATTCGTAGACCACTGCAGCAGAGGTGGGGGGGGCTCCGGGGACCGGTCTAACAGCCAGCAGGTTTGGAGGATCGAGCGAGTATAACTTTTTTTATTTTGACCTTAGACAAAAACAGTGCGGGGGTACTGCAAGGGATAATATATTTACCTGGAGTTCTGCTTTAACTCACAGTGCTAGGGGAGGCAATCAGAGGCTTGGGAGTACTACAATAAAAGAAAGAAGCAGCAAGCTTTAGGGTGCATTCACACCGTAGCATTGCATTCATCGCACGATTCTGTGTGATTAATGCACGCTACCGCACAACGCACCGCTTTTTACCTTAATTTTCACCTGGAAATCCTGCGAATAACACACTTCTTGTCTCTTCGTGGTTACACTCATTACTAAACTGTATCTATGGAAGAAGCCATAGTTGTCACACAGGCTGGACTTGACAAAAATATCTGCCTCTGATAAGAACATTTCATTTCTGGCTATATCAGAAGGAATTTGCTACATTGGCTGAAGATGTTCTGTCTGAAATAATAAAATGAATCAACCAACACATCTAAAAGGACTGGAATAGTAAAAAATAAGGTGTTGCTTAAGGTTTTTTTTTTAAACCAGCCCAGCAGTGTAGTAGTAGTAGTCCAGTTAAAGAGATACAACCAGAAAATGTAAGCAAAGTTTAAAGTTAGAAACATGTACTTCAATCAGCAGATTGTGCTACTTGGACCTCCACACGGGTAACTTTAGGCAAAGGAAGGGTTGGTCTTCAGCCCAAAGGATCCTATTGCAGGAGAGGCGAGTGTGCAAACAAATGGATATATTTACAGTGGGGAGAGTTAGTGATAAGGCAGGGTGGGCGCGCGTGTGTTTTTTTAGTGCAGAGCATCACTCTCTATGTTGAACTCTGCCAGTGTTATTCTTTCGGTACACAAAGCCAAGGTTTTGTTGTGTCCTTTTCCACAATTTTGTGTTGAGTTTCATAGTCTGTAGAGAAGTTTTATTGTTCCAAGATAAGGTGCAATCCCAGGGTAAAAAGTGATAATTATAAGTTTTAATTCGACTAACTACAAGACAAAGAGACTGAATAATCCCCAGTGACTCAAACCACACAGCAGAAGCAAATGAAACATTTTTATAAAGCAATTATTAAACAGCATAGATATATATATATATATACGGTATATATTATACATTTGTTCCAATACTATTTTGCAAACTGAAAAGCAAGTTATACAAGGAAGAATGGGGATACATGAGACCAAGCATAATCACTTTTCTTTATGGCACCAATTCCCCAAAGTTACTTGTATTAAGGCACTTATAATCTCTTTTCCATCGATCAATTCTAAAGTGTGCATTCCTGAAGAACTTCTTGATGAAGCCATTTTTCAAACAAAAGAAATGTCATGTGCATATAAATAAATACACATACAATTTGTAATTTTAGGCTGAAGATCACTGCATAGACGAGCATTTAGAAAGCTGATGTAGATTAGGTCCCTTGCAAGATACCTGATACTAACAAATTAAACAATAATTAGGTTTGTTCCCTGTTAAATGTTAACTCATTATGTTGCTCCCTTTTGGCACAGGCAGTTTATCCCATTAGACTGTACTGTCATAAGGGCATATATTCCCTACAGCCAGAAAGGCAGCAGAATAACAACAAAATATCCATCTATCTATATAGTTATACTTTCTGACAGGCAAGAATCAAGAGTACT